AATAGTCCTCATGAGAGGGGAAAAAAAAATTTCTTGATGCAGTAATTAAAAAAAGACTTAGATCCAGTGTGCAAATTCCCACAGAAGTCCTATTTAGCCCCCTTATCTATGTCAAAGCAAACTCAGTTACACATCAGCTGTGCTTCTCATTTATCTTAATGCTAAGGATTTATTTCTTATGCAAAATTGTTCATTTTCATCAGCCTGGAACCTAAAAAAAAAAATCACATTCTCTTCTTCACAAATTCGCATTAAGCCAAGGTGTCATCAAGCTGAAAATCTGCAGACACAATGTTGGCTCTCTTGTGCAGAAAGCCCAGAGGAGTGCCTGATCTAGGCAATAACAGATTAGCAGGGCTCTGCTGACAGATTCTGAACTGTGTTGAAAAGAGAAAACATAGGTGGCATATAACAATGATTTACAAGGATTTCTGCTCCTACCAAAAGTGGAATTGATAACACTCATAACTATCTGTGGCCTAGATGCTACATTCTTCAGGGAAAAAATGTTACAAGTAGAACTTGTAATGGCTTTCCCCATGATTAGTTGGGTTAATGATTTGATACCTGGAAATATCTAGATTATCCCTGAGATAGAAACTAAAGACTCAGATTGTCAGTTAGGTGATTTGTGTACAATTATGTATTATGTTTGCTTTCATACCATAGAGAAATTACCAAAATCTGAAAGGCTGTGAAAAAGAAAAATCAAGTTACCCATAGAGTTCCTTAGGAAAATAATGAGGGAAATCTGAGGTGAATTAGACAATTTTTTTTTCAAATATTTCAGGCAAAAACATAGAATGGAACAGTTATGATCTGCACTGTAATGGTCAAAATCACAGACACATCAAAACAGTCAAACTACAACAACTAACCCAAGGTCAAAACCACAAACAGTTCTCTATTAGTGGATTCTCCAGCTCTGAGTCCAATTAAAACCAACATCTCCCTAGACTTCATTCCCTGATCATATGGGTGTCCACTACCTGTCAATGCAATTTTCTTGATTGCTAATGAAACACTCCTTGTTCATCCCATTAGTCTTCATAATCACTATATTAAATCACTCTCCCTAGTGTTTTCCCCCAGCAACCATTTGTGAAGCATGTTAGCATTTCAGTTTTCTTAGATGTCGGTGACCATTTTGTACTTTTTCCCGTTTTCTCATAAATTAAACCACTCTAACATCTTGCAAACAAGCAGGCAAACAACATTATTTGAACTACCAAGCTATCTAATTAAGCCACAATATCATCACTCCTCTAGTTTACAAGATAATCATCTGATTACCTTTTGTTAAACTATTCACCCTGTGGCCTTATGGTTTATTCACTTGGGAATGAGATTATAGCTTCCCAGACTACTATAGCAGAACTGTTATGACTTATTACAAGTTTAATTAATGCCAAACAATGGCAGTCCAGTTTCTAGCTTAATAACATCTTCTTTCATAAAGCTGCTCTATCATTTTGCATTTTATAACTTTGTTCATCAGTATATTTCCTAGTGTTTCTAAAGCCATTCCTCCTACAGAACTTTCCTACTGGATATGGCTGCACATTTTGAGAACTTAGCAATTTCTTAGTTTAGTCTGCATTTAGGGATTCAGAGCTTACAGAAGATAGGAAAATGGTAAAATCATCTTCAGGATGACCTTATAATGGATAGACAAAACTTCTAACTCTTTTATGTATCTTCTTTCATTTGATCCTTAAGTGGACACAAAGAGCTGAGAAGGGGACATGTCATTAGGCCCATTTTTACAGATCAGTACTATCCGAAATGTGTCAACACGAACCAAGCCCATGACACCGCTTCAATTAGTGTAGGCCTCTTAACATTATATTATTTTTTAAAGATATCTAGGTAGGATCATCATTTGCACTGAACAAAGGGTATATAACTTATAAAAAGCCTCTATTCTAGTAGAAGGAGCCAAAGCTCAGTGCAAAAATGAGTTAATCAAATACTATATTGAAAAAGCTAAGATAACAACTCAGGCTTTCTGCTCCCCAGGACCAGCATTTGCTTCTAGTG